TTCGAGGTTTTGCCTTGGCCTCCAAATTCCCCAGATATTAATTTGATTGAGCTAGAACAACAAATATGATCCATGGAGGCTCCACTTTGCAACTTGCAGGACTTAAAGGATGTGCTGCTAATTTCTTGGTGCTAGATATAACTGGACACTTTCAGTGGTCTTATGGTGTCCATGCCTCGACACATCAGGACTGTTTTGGCAGCAAGAGGGGACCTACACGAAATTAGGCAGATGGTTTTAATGTTGTAGCTGATTAGTGTATGATGTGTACATTTCTCAAATGCAGTGAGACCCTATTTAGAACGTAATAGACCGCTGTGACATTCCCTGCACTGTGTGGACGTGAACCCCATGATTATTAGGTGGCTGTTATATGAGACCAGGTGAATATTGATTATATAGAAATATATCTGTGTGATCACCATTTACACAATGGGAAAGTTGTGACTGACTGGGAAATCAATGTCTTGTTTGATGTCTAATCCTGGTCACTTCTTATCTCTAGCAATCCACAGTGTGCAGTAAATAACATGTATAGGAAACCAACCAATAACACAAGGGGAAACCAACATCAGGAGAGCTCCACTGTATAAGAAATGAGGAAGGGAGGCCCTACCTTTAATCAATCTAAGGATAAAAAGGGATATGCAAACAAAAAGTATAAATTGAAAAAAAAAGGAGATCTACTAAATGGTGCCCAGGGGATCAATTGTCTGGAGGACTAGCTAGCATCTAAGTTCCAGTTCCCCTAGTGTCCGACTGACAGGAAGGTAGTGTAAACGAGGTTAGGGAGAGAGAAGAGGCACAGGGTCCCCAGAGAACAAGGGACCGGGTAATCAGGTCAAAACGCAGATGAAAAGCCTCACACAAAAAATAAATAAATGAATCTCTCAATTCACCCTAAAAGTTACCTCGACACCGTGGTCTAACCACTAGTGTCTACCTAAACCAATTCTCCCTACTAAAGTTATAAATAAATAAATAAATTCCCTTCCTCATTTCAGTGGATATACAGTGGAGCTCTCCTGATGTTGGTTTCCCCTTGTGGGACTCTACACATCACCTACTCCTATTACCCACACCTGTATCAGCCTCCTCTGCCTTTTAAACCTTTCCTGCATTGTGTTTAACATCTCACGGTACAAACACTCCTTTACGTGTTTCCTGATAGGATACATTGGCCGTAGAATTGTCTAAAATCCATTTATTTTCTGAAAGTCACGGTGAAAGACTTGATGTTTTTATTTACCAATCGTCTCGTGTCAAATATTCACAAATAACAGATTTAAACCACATTCCCAAGCAAAATAAATCAAATAATCAGCTTGCTGTAATTTAGTGAAAATGCATTTGGCAGAATTAATAAGGGCTGCATTTATATGCAACAAAAATGTGCTACGGGTTTTAGAGCAGAACGTGAATATTTCGTTCTAAAATAGGAAAATGAGCTATGCAGATTTCACAGAGAATGGATTAGAAACAGAAGATCGGAACGAGTTCAGAAATTGGGAGGAATTTATAATCACTGCTCAGTGGATCCATCACATAGAGATGAGAGTATTTTTTCAATCCAGAAAATAATGATATCTTTCTTCCGAGCAGATCACGCTGTCATGCTGTAACTGTCACTGTGCAGAGCGGGGATCATAATCGCAATGCAGCCCACCAACATTACTTCTGTCCCTGGAAGAGCAACTTGGTGGACAGAGAAGGTGCTATCCTTCCCAGCTCTTCTTCCAGCATATCACTGATAGATCAGAGACTATATAAATGACACAGCTGCAAACAGGCACACTCAGCATTTTGGGACATGTATAGATTCACACAGTTGGTTTTGTGTAGTATGTCAGAATGGAGACCGTAGGCTCTTATCTCAAGTAAAAAAATGTTTGAGAGAACTTGTGATAGATCGCTACGGAGGAGGACATAGTATGTTGATTTATATAAAATGTTTTTCTTAGTGCATTTTCAAATTTTTCTTACTTTATTTAAAATAATTGTTAGGTTAATTTTAAATAATTGGACATATTATCATAATGCAGAAATTCTGTAAAATGAATCTGTGAATTGCTAAATATTGCCTTCTAACAAAATATTGCCTTCTAACAGTGACTTCTAAAAAAGGTGCAAAATTCTGTCATACAGGTAGGATAAAAACAATGAGAATCAAACACACTCCAGAGTCAATTCATAAAATGAAATAATATAAAATTAATATAGACAACAGAACATTAAACGAGCACTCCAATGGGAAAAAAACATGTATAATTGTTTAAAATAATTTCGTATCTTTGCTTAAGCTGTAGTATTGAGCCTCGTTAACACAACACCATGTCTTTGCTTCGACTGTAATATTTGAGTCATGTTAACACAACGCCATGTCTTTGCTTACACTGTAGTATTCACATTTGTGCGGCCACATACCAGGACCCTGATGCAGCTTCAGCGGATACCAGGAACTAGGAGCGTGGAAATAAGCAGACCTCCCAGGAGCTGAATAGGGAGGCTCTGCAGCAGGAATGTATCCAGTACAGAAACAAGACAAGGCTAGGATAGGCACCAAACAAGACAGAACTACTCCCAATGATACATGCATGAATTTAAATATGCATTTTATCTTACATTTTTTAATTCCAATATGGATTTTATTAAAGTACTCTCTATACAGATAAATATAAATGACCAATTTTCTTAGCAGATCATCCAACAAGCAAAAAGTATTGTTAAAGCAACACTGTGTCTTTGCTTAAGCTGTAGTATTGAGCCTCGTTAACACAATGCCATGTCTTTACTTAAGCTGTAGTATTGAGCCTCGTTAACACAATGCCATGTCTTTGCTTCGACTGTAATATTTGAGTCATGTTAACACAACGCCATGTCTTTGCTTACACTGTAGTATTCGAGCCTTGTTAACACAACACCGTGTCTTTGCTTATGCTGTAGTATTTGAATCTTGTTAACACAACGCTGTGTCTTTGCTTACACTGTAGTATTCAAGCCTTGTTAACACAATGCTGTGTCTTTGCTTTTGCTGTAGTATTCGTGTCTTGCTAACACAATGCTGTGTCTTTGCTTCGGCTATAGTATTCGAGCCTTGTTAACACAATGCTGTGTCTTTGCTTTCGCTGTAGTATTTGAGTCATGTTAACACAACGCCGTGTCTTTGCTTTCGCTGTAGTATTCGAGCTTCATTAACACAACGCTGCGTCTTTGCTTCGGCTGTTGTATTCAAGCGTTGTTAACACAATGTCAGGGTGGCGGTCGAAAGTAGGAAAGTAGGAGTCACAGTGTGGAAGTAGATTAGCAGGGTCTGGTGCAGGGTAACCGCACGCCCCCTGGTGTTAAGCACCAGCATTTGTGCGGCCACATACCAGGATGCTGACGCAGCTTCAGCGGATACCAGGAACTAGGAGCGTGGAAATAAGCAGACCTCCCAGGAGCTGAATAGGGAGGCTCTGCAGCAGGAATGTATCCAATACAGAAACAAGACAAGGCTAGGATAGGCACCAAACAAGACAGAACTAGTAGAACAAGAGGAGACATAACTGGTGCGGTTACCCTGCACCAGACCCTGCTAATCTACTTCCAGAATTAATAACTGTGACTCCTACTTTCCTACTTTCGACCGCCACCCTGACATTGTGTTAACAAGGCTCGAATACAACAGCCGAAGCAAAGACGCAGCGTTGTGTTAATGAAGCTCGAATACTACAGCGAAAGCAAAGACACGGCGTTGTGTTAACATGACTCAAATACTACAGCGAAAGCAAAGACACGGCATTATGTTACACTATGTGAAACACTATGGGGACTTAGTTACATTATATGATCATACATTACATAAGCCTGCCACAACGCCAATGTACCCCATATGTGGCAGGTCCTACTCTAACTGCCTAATGTCTGCTAAATGAACCATAATAAAGCACATACAGCACTTACCTGCAAGAAAAGGCAGAGAACTTGAACAATTGCCTGCAGGGACCAACTGAACCAAAGGAATCATGGAAAAGGAACGGGTGTGGCAACATAAAACAAACATTTAAAGGAATCCAAGAGACTGGGAATTCCAGGAACGGAATACAGGAATGAACCCAGAAAACCCAGCATAAAGAAAACCAGACATGGAATAGAAAACCAGAAAAACCAAGAAAAACTAAACAAGAATTGTAAAAAGAGTACTGACTAACAGAATCCATTGCCAGAATCATCCGCAGCTAAGAACAGGATGTGACACACAACATCATGTCTTTGCTGATGCAGTAGTATTTGAGTCTTGTTAACACAACACTGTGTCTTTGCGTACGCTGTAGTATTTGAGTCTTGTTAACACAACACTGTGTCTTTGCGTACGCTGTAGTATTCGAGCCTTGTTAACACAACGCTGTGTCTTTGCTTCAGCTGTAGTATTTGAGTCTTGTTAACACAACACTGTGTCTTTGCGTACGCTGTAGTATTCGAGCCTTGTTAACACAATGCCGTGTCTTTGCTTCAGCTGTAGTATCTGAGTCTTGTTAACACAACACTGTGTCTTTGCTTATGCTGTAGTATTCGAGCCTTGTTAACACAACGCCGTGTCTTTGCTTCGGCTGTAGTATTTGAGTCTTGTTAACACAACACTGTGTCTTTGCATCAGCTGTAGTACTTGAGTCTTGTTAACACAACGCTGCATTTTGACTTACGCTGTAGTATTCGAGCCTTGTTAACACAACACTGTGTCTTTGCTTCAACTGTAGTATTTGAGTCTTGTTAACACAATGTCATGTCTTTGTTTACGCTATAATATTTGAGTTTTGTTAACACATCACCGTGTCTTTGCTTCGACTGTAGTATTTAAGTCTTTTTAACACAATGCCGTGTCTTTGTTTCAACTGTAGTATTTAAGTCTTGTTAACACAACGCTGTGTCTTTGCTTCGACTGTAATGTTTGAGTCTTGTTATGGTTATTTTGTGTCTGTGGTTTCTATTGCTGTTATATGTCTACATCTTGTTTTTTATGTCTATGGTTTTGTATGTGTTGCAGAGGAGCCATAGCCGTGCGTAGAATCCGCCAAATCTCCTCTTGGATGGATGCAATCTTCGTGGCAGGTAGTCCGAGGACGCAATCCAGTGACCAGTGAATGGGAAAGGGCTGACTTTTGACTGGTCACCACGAAGCACAAAGACTCCAGAAAGTGAACGACAAAGTACGTCTGTGAGCGCAGTGTGGATTCTGTGTCGCAGAAGATCAGCAAGTTATCCAGGTAGACAAGGTAATGGATGCCCCTGGATTGGAAATAGGTCATGACCAGCTTCAGTAGCTTTGTGAGGCACCACGAGCCGAACTGAGGCCGAAAGGCAGGCACGTAAATTGACACGACCAATGACCCTATACGAACCTTAAAAAAGCAACGACTCGTAGACGCCATAGGTACCGAACAATACGTGTCTTTGAGATCGAGACAGGTGAGCCAATCAATGACCAGCAGGAGATCCCGGAGTAAATGTATACCTTCCATTCTTAAAAAAGTCGATAGACGACACAGTAGTTGAACCGACGGAGATTGATGACTGGCCGAAATTCTCCCAACTTTTTTCAGACCAGGAAGATGTTGTCGTAGAAGCCCCAATTGTCTGGGACAAATTGTACAGCGCATTTGGCGAATAGAGAGCGAATCTCTTCGTTTATAGGGAGTCAGTGTTCTCTTGAAACATGCAACGGAGGTGGTCGGCGATTTGTATGGGTTTGGAGTGGAACTCAATGGTATAGCCCTGGACCGTCTGCAGCAGCCAAGCTTCTGCTTGGACAGAAGGAGGGTGATTGTGATTGCGAGCCATGCTCGAGTGAAGGCTGGGCTTTGGTCAGCATCGTGAACATGTTGACCTGTCGCTTAAACTCTGTCATAAAAGGATCACGAATAGGAGTCACCTTGCCAAGGGTCACAGTTCTTTGGAGCCCAATTCCAAGAGTGTTGAGTCCATCCTCAAAAGTGCTGTCTTGCGTCTTGCGCTACAGAGGGTTGCATTTGCGTTACCCATCATGCAGATAGAGCACTGAGCCCATTCGTGGAAGTCACTTGTGTCTAACTGCGTGCCCTGTTAGAGGCCTAGATCCACAAAGAATAGTATCTTAGCCAATGGGCTTAGTAGATCCAACGGCTTGACTTGTGCTGACTTTAGCTCCTTCTCAATGCCCTTCCTGGGGTCTCTGCCAGCCAGGGACATGAAAACCACTACTGTGGTGTCAAATACTGGAGTGATAGCCACCTTGCATTCAGTTCGTAGGCGTGCCCGCATTTCCTTGTCCAGTGGCTTGGAGTTGGAGTGGGTTAGGTCTTGCAAGTCCACTCTTTCAAAACGCTTGGGCTTTTTAAACAGAGCTTTGTCCCTAGACCCTTCCCGTGATGTTTGGGCCCTGTCTGGCTTAGTGGAGCGTCAGATCCCGTAGCGGCATCAGATTCTTGCTGCCATGCTTGCGGAGGTTGTGGCAGGACCCGCAGTCGGGCCTTTTCAACTGAGGCCATGACAGTGGCGTTAATCATGGCCTGAAAGTCCTGCATTGGTGAAGGTGTGTTGCTCATGGTGGTTGGTCTGCCTGTAAGAGGCCAGCGACAATCAGTGGGAGCAAGATAAATGGAGACGCACGTATGGTGCCTGGCTCCTAGTACAACTGAGGCGTACCAAGGGATCGGCTTTACAGTATATTCGTCTACAATGATAGTGCCATGAAGAGGGACTCACCCTCTAGGTGTATGAAAGGAGGTTTCCCTTAAGTGAATGGGAGTCTCAGAATCATGGGGTTGATCCCCAGCTTAATTCCCCATCTGGGGTGATATTGAGGGGTTAACCTCGTAATTGTTGCCAAGGTGACGTATCTTCGAGGGGTTCACCCCAGTTACATGTCAAAGCTGTACCTCTGTGGTCAGCAATAAAACAGGTGTACATAGCACGTGTGATAGTTCTGCATGGTGTGATAATGTATCTCCAGACAACATTAAGGATGTGGGAGATCCCTGTAGGGAATGTGCAGAACATCTGTGAGGATATCTGGGACACCCACATATGGCAACTAATGTAGTCAAAAAGGTACATTGTATATGGCTGTTGTGGCGGAACCAGCCTCGCCACTGGGCATTGGAGAAGACTGATTGCCAGCCTCCTGCCCTGTGACTATGGCCCCATGTTGAAATGCTTGATTTTCCCCTGCAAAGACCAGAAAGCCGGGTCATTCGGCACTTTCCCTCTGTGAGCAGTGTTACCCCAGATAGCTATGCCAGGGAGCCCATTCGTATAAAGACTATGTGAAAGACTTTGGCTCCATGGCAATTTCTCTGTATGTATGTGATCTGAGCGCCATTCAGTAATAATGTGCGCTCAGATCTAAGCTATCTGGGGATATGCTGAATGTACCTGTTTTATGCAATAACTGCACAGTTATATATTTTTATGTATTTTATTGTATTTTGCTACCATGTGGCTAATCGAGTTTTGCCTCTGTCCTTGGAGATAATTGGATTACTTCCCAATTATCTCCAGGATAGAAGACTTTGTGGAACTGGTTTTGGGCAGAAAAGCCATGCTTCCTGTGGTCACAAAGGGACTTTCAACTAACTTTTGACCCACTGGACCAATTCGTATGATTTTGACGTATGTTTGTATTTGGAGTATGCTGATTCTGTAAGTTTTATGTGAATGTGAAATATTCACTGCTAAACTCTTGTAAGAACTTGTTCTGTTTTTTGCTCTCTGAAAGAGTCTACGGTGGTTATGGTGTCTGCTGGAGTGCTTAGAGGCTTAGAAGTGCTAGGAGCATCCTTCAACGGAGGTACCCAGTCGGGGTGCCCGTCGATCCGTTACAGCTGTTAAGTCCAACATAGTCCCACATAGCAATTACACCTCAGTGTATGTCAATTTCTGTTGTGTCAGCAAACAGCGTGTAACAGCCCAGAACGTATTGAATAACTTGTGTATGTCACAGCTTGAAAGTAGTCCCTATCTGTAATGAGAAACATTGCTCATCACACAGCCTACCTGCTATTAATACATATAATACAGGTGTATTCATAATATATATATTTATTATTACCACGTCTGCATCAGAAGAATCCCACAGACTTTCCGGTCCATCTAATTAGCTTGATTTCTGTCACTTACCTTATCGCATTAACAACCATGAGGTGGTGGCCATCTTGTTCGAACTTATCTGTTATATGTACATGACGTTTATTCCTATGTCTTATCTGTACTCCCTTTACCCTTTACTCCCTTCCTACTACTGTCCTATGAGTATTTGCACGTAAGCACTTACTTTTTAATGTATAAAAACACATACTGATAAATAAACGACAGAGGCTTATTTTGATAACCAACACGCGACTGGTGTCTGAATTCACACTCTTCCAAGTGTTCCTGGAACTAAAATCGGACACAGAAACACCCGAACACAGCTGGACTTCCATCATCGCCTGCGTTTGGTTTTATACAATTTTGTATGGGAATGTCCTGGACCTGTGAGCCAGTGTAATCACACATATGTTTTTACAGTTGTGGCTACTAATAAACCAGTTCCAGTTTACCTCAATACAGAGCCTCTTCTTGTGCTTGTAGAGGAAAGCTATACCAGCTATAATCTCTGCGATCTTGTAAGAGCTATCCTGCTATACTCTCTAGAGGAGGAGAGGTCTACCCACTGAAAGCTGGATCCTGGTCTTGGGTCCAGGGTGGGTGAAAGACAGCGAGACCCCAACCAAGCTGTAACGATGGAAGTGGGGACTACAGTGCTGATGGTGTCTGGTGAAGTGCTTTGAAGTGCTTTGAAGTACTCGTGAGCACTAGGACGCAGCGATTGGTGGAGGCACCCGATCGGGGTGCCAGGCAGTCCGTCACAATCAGCGCAGTATTTGTAATCACTTGTAGTAGGTACCTTAACTGTGGATGAGAAATCAACACTGCAGTATCCACTGGTGAGGGTGGAACCTCAGATACAGCTTAAAGGTAAGTATATTTAGGCCAGATCACGGTAATACCGATATGGAAGGAAAAAAGAAATAGCCGACGTGAATCTCGCAAGATTCAAGATGGCCGGCATGCGCTCAACGATCGGCGCGATTTTTGCGGGCCTGCCGGTCGCGGAAGAATCCCGCTGAGACCCCCCACCACCCACACACACCCTCAGCTAGCCGCAAAGAAGTATAAACAGGCTGAAAAGAGCGAAAGTGGCACCGACGGCCACGATCTGCACGAGGGGCAAGAGCCAGGACAGTCCCAGGCTCCAGGAGAGAAGGGAGAGAGGGAGTACGCCTCAAAGAGGGTTATGAAAGCAAGTAAAAAGGGCAAACAAGTATTAGCAGAATGGTAGTGGGGACAAGCTAACAAGAACAGCAGGGTAAATACCTATATAATACAAATATAGCAACCTTTGTTTAAAGTGGAATAACACACAATGAGAAAATTAAACCTATAAATCGGTTTACCTAATAAAACAATCTTTAAATTGTAGAAAGATATATCAGCTAATAAAGTAATCTTAAATACCTATGAATCATTACACCGAATACAGAATAAATCCGACAAGTAACAGTAAACAGTCACAAGGACAAAATACTCTGACCTGTGCCATGCTGGAGCAGCAAAGAAAGAGGAAGTGATGTGTGTGACAGGTCCTATTCTATAACATTGAAGTGTTTTCTGATTGGTTGTTCTCTAATGATCTGTGCTGCTGGGAGTTTCAGTAAAGAGAGTTATGCAAATAATTTTGTCATGTGATAAAATTATATTTTTTTACTTTATTTAATTGTATGACCACATAAAGTATCTAACATTGCATCAAAGTTACTGGAAACAATGAATAAAGATATGAAAACAGTTAAATCTGTAAATTCTGACTCATTTATCAGGTTGTTTAATCTGGGCCTAAAACAGTAATATTAATTAATTGAGTTATTATAATAAAAATGACTATATACAGTTAGAAATGAGCATTATATGAACACACCAAAGATGGCATTAGTTTATTCTCAATTTATTGAAAGCTAAAAATGTCAGAAGTGACAATAAATGTTGAGCAATTTAAAAAGGACTAATTATGAATACTGATATATTGCAAAGTCTGTATGACAGTTTGAAAGTAGGCCCTATCTGTAATGAGATACATTTCTCATCACACAGCCTACCTGCTATTAATACATATAATATAGGTGTATTAATAATAATAATATATATATATATTATTAGCACATCTGCATCATAAGAATCCCACGGACTTTCCAGTCCCTCTAATTGGCTTGATTTCCGTCACTTACCTTCCAGGTTTCCTGTACCTTTAGCAGCTGATTAGAGTGAGCTTACGGCACTCATTACGGACGTCTTTTCTTTCTATGTGAATCTTCCACCCACCAGCCTAATTTGTTGAAATAACTGCAAATTGGTT